TTCCTATCTTATTTAAAAATCAGTGTATAAAGCAATATTTATAGATCAGTGTGCATGAAAGGTAGATAGATAGATAGATAGATAGATGGATAGATAGATAGATAGAATTGTGACAATAGTAGCCATGAGGGAGAAATTAAACTATGTAAGAACAAAATTGCTGTATATTATGGAAATTAATTTGGCACTAATGCAAGCTACATTGTTATGAACTATGATGTTAATGTTAAATTGGACTCCTAATGCCAAGAAAAAAACTTAAAAAATCTACTACAAGAAATGCCAAGGAATTAAAAAAAAGTATAGTAGAGTTATTTAACACAAAAGTTACAAAAATGATTTAAGGAAAACAGATGACATATAGAAAACAAGGAGCAAAATAATAGAAAAAATACTGTTTTGTCAGGAAATATTTCAAATGGAGATGGATTAAACTCTGCATTTTCAGAACAGTGAAAAAATGGGCTAGCCATATGCTACACATAGTAGACGCAAAGACACTGAAAGGTTGAAAGAAAAATGATGAAAACAGATTTTCTGGGCAAAGGGTAACTAAAACAGAGCTGTTATGGTTATATTAATTATACACAAAACAGACTTTCAAACAAAAATTTTCATTGAGAACAAAAACTTCTTAAATAATGAAATGGGCAAATATCCCAAGGAGACATATGAAGGTATCAATATTTCACTTTCAGTAGTACATAGAACAGCTAGAAAGATTAGAAAGGAAACAAAAACATGAACAAACCAGACTTAATGCTCTTCTAAAGACACTCTGCCAATCAGCAGAAAAATTCATAGTCTTTTCAAGTGTGTATTCACAATTCTTCAGGATAGATCATGTATGAAGCTATAGAATAAGCCTCACTAAACAACAACTACAGAACCAAATGAAATGGAATAAGAAAGGCAAAAGTTAGAAAAAATCATAAGCACTTGGAAATAGGATGATATTTGTTTAAGTAATCAATGGATTAAAAAAAAGAAACTATGAAGAAAACATGAAATAGGTTTGTATGAATGAAAATAAAAACACAGCATGTCAAAATTATGGTGTGCCTCACAAGAATACTTTGAGAAATATTTGTAAATAAAAATAACCATCTTTCTGAAAAGAAAAAAGATCTGAAATCAGTGATTTTATTTAACATTTCACCTTAGGACTCTAAAGAAAGAAGTACAAGTCAACCCAAATCAAGGATCAGGAAGGACATAATGGAAGTTCAGGTGGAAATTAATTAAAGAAAACCAGTAGAGTAAAATTAATGTTAACATTAACAAACAAAAGCTGTCCTTTTGAAAAGATCAACAAAATTAACATTCTAACAAAAGTAGCTATACAAAAAGAGGGTCATTCACACTACTAAAATCAGAGATGAAAAAGATAATGTTATTACTGATCTGTTAAAAAATAAAAAGTAATACAAGACAATATTTAATACTTACCAAACTTTGTGGACACATTTGATAGCATAGAATAAATTTAAAAATTCCTAGAAGACAAAACCACCCAAACAGTTTCAAGAAGAAATAGTAAATCTAAATAACTTATCACAAGTAAAGATGTTGAATAATACTCAAAAAGTAAAGTTAGGCTCAAATTGCTTCACAGGTAAAATTCTAACTGATATTTAAAGAAAAATTACCACTGAACTTTCACAAATTGTTGCAAAAAATGAAAAGGAAGGGATGCTTCCCATCTCATCCTATAGGGTCAGTTTAACTCTGAGGACAAAAACAATGACATCACGAGAAATGGAAGCACAAACCAACATTTCTATTGAATACAGATACAAAATTCCTCACTCGAGTGCTACCAAACCAAATCTAGCCATGTATGAACGTGACCTTATAGCATGGCAACTGGGACTTATCTTAGGAATGCAAGGTTGGTGTCGATTAATGTAACACTGTATCAACAAAGTAAAAGACAAAAACCAGTTATCATCTCAACAAGAAATAAAAGGACAAAAATCTGAAAGAGAGAGACAGAGACAGAGATAGAGACAGAGAGAGACAGAGAGAAAATGAAAACAGAAACAAACAAACAAAAGCTTCAACAGTCTTTAGGAATAGAGAACTTCCTCAGCCAGATAAAAGGCACCCATGAAAAAGCCCACAGCTAACGTTCCAGCTGCAGATACACAATGGAGCGCTTTCTCTTCAAGGTCAGGAATAAAATATGAATGCAACGCATGCCAGTTCTACTCAACATTGTTCTGCAGGTTCTGCCGAGAAAATTAGACAAGAAATTAAATGGAAATCAATAATAAATATTTTTTCAGACTATAAAATCAACATATAGGCTGAGGTAGGAAGATTACAAGTTTGAGCCCAGCCTGGGAAAGTTCCTGATGTGGCAAGACTCTCTCAAAATAAAATCTAAAAAAGGCTGGAGATATGGCTCAGTGAAAAGACACTCACTCCTCCGTTCCACCAAAAAGACTAGTGTGCAAAAATGCATGTATGTATATGATGAACAGTGAGCCATCTGGAAATAAAACTAAGAAAAATTCTTACTGATTAGTATAACGGAAGCAAAATAAAATCTGTAATCTGAGGAAAGGACAATATTGTTGAATGAAAGAAATTACAAACAAAAATAAAGATGATATGTTTGTAAACTAGATAACTTCATATAGGTAAGTCATCAATAGTTTCAAATTTAACCTATAGACTCAAAACAATCACAGTCAAAATCCCAGCTGACTTCCTTACATAAAATGGCACAATGATATAAAGACCATCTATGACAGACTCAGTAATAAAAAGACAGTACCCCATTTAAAATAGGATCCAAAGAGATTGTTCCTCAAATATAACTGGCCAATAAGATATTCATGAAAATATGTGCAACATCTTTAGCATTTAGGGAAATTCAGATCAAAATAACAATCGCACATCACTCTAAAACTATTAGGAAGACTATTACTGAAAAATAACACAAAAACAGAAATTAAAAAGTGTTGATGTGACTGTGGAGAAACTGGAACCTCTGTGCACTGCTGGTAGGAATGTGAAATGGTGTGATGTTGTAGGAACCTGGATGGTGGTGCTTCAGAAATTAAAACAGAATTAACATCTGACTTAACAATCCCACTTCTAGAATGTACACAGAAAAAGTGAAAGCAAGAACTTTAATATATATTTCTATGTCACGGTCCATGGCACCATTATACACTATGTATTAATTGTGGAAATAATCTTAATTCCTCCTCCAGTAACAGAATAATGGATAAAAAAAGAGGAAATCATCTATATAGTGGAATATTAGACAGCCTTTATATGATACAGCATGGCTGAAGGAATAAGCCACCCACAAAAGCCTAAATATGCAGAATTATTCCGTTTTCCTGAAATAATTGAATAGTTAAATCTACAAAACAAAATCTAGACTAGTGGTCCTCAGGAGTGTGGGTGTAGGAGAGAAAAAATGGAAAATGCTTGCTCATGGGTGTGGAGGACTTTCTTTTTTCAAATGAGAAAAATGTTCTAAAATTGATCATTTGTGATAGTTGTACAACTCTCTCCATGTTAAAGTTCACTGAATTGTACATTTTAAATAGATATGATGGGCAAGGAATTGAGTTCAGTGGCTCAAGCACTTGCCTGGTAAGTGCAAAGTTATGAGTTTGATTCCTGGCACAACAACAACAACAAAAAATGGATATGGTATTTCTATGATAATATTCAAATTTTATCTCAATTAATTTGCTATTATAAAAAGACAAAGCCTGAGTCCCCCAAAAGGACCCAGTCCTCACCACTGCATATATTTCAGGTCAGGGAGGGATGGCTAGAAAAGATAGCCCTACAATGATATCTTGGAGGTGAGCATGGGGAATATAGAGCAAAGCTTCACTTTCTTTGGATCCCAGCTGTTCAGGAGAGTGTGTGCTCGCAATGCTAACCTGTACCGAAGAGGAGCATGGCAGCCTGGTTATGTGAGCGTGGTGAAATGAGGAAGGGCATCCGAGGCTGTCAGCCAAGTGTACACAGGGAGAATTGCACATGATAGAGGGTCTAGAGTAAGACAAGGGATGCAAAGACGGGCACACTGAAGAGCAGGGTTTTCAGATTGCAAAAATAAAGGCTATGACAGGGATGATGGGTTCTATTACCAACCGATAGAAGGTGACTCAGTATCAGAAGGAAGTGATTGATTTGTTGTTGATGTGGGAGTTGCAGAGTGTGACAGTCTCAGACCAAAGAGAAGGAGAAGCCTCTTGGTATTGGTGAGAAGCGGATGTCCATTGTGAAAACAACTGTACACTGCAAAGGTTTACTTTTAGATTTAAACAGCATTCAGGGCATAAGGAGGAGAGACTGCGAATCTTAGAAATGAGAGTGCTCCTTATGGGAAATGCACATTTTCAATTGATTAAATTTAAACTGTGAAGCACTGGGGTTTTGCCCTAAGAATGTGAATGTATCTGGAAGAGACTAACTTTTAAAACTAGGAGGGACAGATGTTTCCTAAACACTTGAGGTTATTTTTTATTTTCCAGCACTGAAGTGGAAGGGTCATTCCTAAGGCTTTGTGTTCAGTGATAGACGATGGACAGTTACACGGCCTCATCATTATGCTGAAAGAATAAACTCTAAATTGCTGACCTCCCACTAAGGAATGGAATATGGAGGAATGGTCAGAAAGTGATGTGCTTATGACCCACAAAGCAGCTGGATCAGGCTATCTTTTCAGGCTGGAAGTCATCATGCCTAGGATGGAATCTGCCAATGTCACTAACAGGGGTACTGAGATTTTGGACAGCATTGCTGAACATTTCAGCCCATTCAGCTGGCCTAGAAGGAAGTTGAATTAAGTACGCATTAGAATTCACTCTGAGGGACTGACTTTCAGGTCGTGGGTACACAGTAGGGAAACATATGGTTCATCCTGCTCAAGTACGAATGGACATTGTCCTTTAAAGGGATGAAACCTACTTCTTTGGTCCTGGCCAGACAGTAAGAGGCTGAACTATGTCAAGTGTAATTACCTGTGAAGTGCTGATGGTTACTATTTTTGCAGTCACATTTTTCAATTAGCTCGGGATCCTGCACGTCGCCATGACAATTGAAACAGTAAAAGCGGGCTCTGGACAATGAAAGCAAACCGAGAATGACTTACCTGAGGCTTTACACTAGATGCTGACACAGTATGCCTCCCATTAAGTTGTATTTGCTTTAGTGCTTTCCCTCCATAAAGCAATAAAAAAGTTACCTCTGGACTTCTATTGGAGATTCCGCAATAAAGAACCCTAATGTATTCTTATGCAGCTTCACTTGTGAAGGTGGATTTAGTATCAGATCACTGGAAACAGAAAATAAAAATACAGTCAATTTTCCCTCCGATATCTGTGGCAAAGCTACCAAGTTATTAGGATTCAATCTCCTTCCAGTGTTAACAGTGGAAAACATGAATCTTTTACTCTAATTCTTTATTCGATTGCTGTTAAATAAGTTGATGGGAGTCAGGCAAACAACGGGATTGTTATCTGAGCTGCCTTCACAGCTGAGCTGAAGGGAAGCTCCCCCTAGGACTGTATCATGAATCCAAGATGGTTCAAGTAACGCAAACACGTGTCACCTTGCTATCAAATGCCAACTAGGCCAACACCACACAGCTGCCGGTCTTACAGTCGTGATGGTGGTGTTCATCCTCAGGATGCTTGCCTTCGAAGTAAACTATAGCCAATCAACCAACTGTATTCAGAGTTTCTTTTTATTTACTTATAGAGGTTTTGAAAGTGTACATTTATTTTGACTTCACTATTGTGTACTTAGATTGCAAAGTTTAGAAAGCAAGAACTATATGAATTATTTCTTCTGTTTTTAACTTTTTTTTTTTTTTTTTTTTTTTTTTTACCGGTACCAAGGATTGAACTCATGACCGCCTGCTTGCAAGGCAGATGCTTATGCCACTGAGCTAAATCCCCGGCCCCCTATATGAATTATTTCTATTTCTTTCTTTCTTTTCTTTTCTTTTCTTTCTTTCTTTCTTTTTTTTTTTTTTTTTTTTGGTACTGGGAATCAAACTCAACCTTGCACTTGCCAATCAGGTGCTGTGCCGCTGAGCTATATACCTGGCTATTTCTATTTGTACATTACTTGAACATTTAAACCTTCTGTTCTCATATGGCTTACATATTTTATATCTAATAAATTTCTATATATGCCGCTCTTGACTCATCATGGCTGTTTTGAGTTACCTAAACTTTTCCCTGCTTCTCAGGATGTCTTCTCCTTATTTTTCTTTTCAATTCACACCTCTAGCCTAGTGAGGATTCCTCTTGCTTCTTTTTTGCAAGATGAAAGCACTCCTTTCATCCTTGAAAATTCACAGTGGAATGATGTCACATCTTTGTTTTTACTTACTTTGCTGTTAGGATAGTCCTGAGTAAGTTGCAAAAATACAAAAGAGCTTACATGTGCACAAAAAACCCTCCTAAGACTTTTGACAAGGGCTGAATGCGGTTTGCTAGCTATGTCCAGTAGATGTTTCTTGGACACCATGCAATACATGCATCTTCTCAGCACAGAATTACACAGGAATTAGAGGTATGGTTGGATTTGACCACAGAAGAGAAAGAATATAGATTCGTGTTTCCTTGAGTATCACGGGTTGATCTTCACTACCTAGTGAGCATACACATGTGACTTAAGTGTCTCCTTTTTTCTATGTAGATCTGAACTCAAATTGAATACAGAGCACTTGTGAGAAGAGGTGGAATTCTTGCTTGCACCCCCATCATGAACCACAGCTATTTGCTCTATTTAAAGAATGTTTGCTACTGGAACACACCCATTACCTTTTGTGAGTAGGGTCAAAATCAGCATCATCTCTCATCAGACAAAATATTATTTCCCATGACAACCCCTTATGATTGTGCAGGGCTTTCACAAATCTTAGAGATTACTCATGTGTATCAATTAGCAGAGAAAACAGAAAGTGTGAAAAGATAATTTTCCCCCCATCTTTCAGTACCCTGGCCTGAGGCTTAGCCACTGAGACTTCTGGTGTTCCCACTACTAGCAGTGGCCCCGGGAGATTTATCACAGCATGGTGACTAGAGCCACCATCCCCAGAGTCAGATTGCGTTCAGGCCCTGGCTTTGCAATTGGCAGTTGTGTGAGCTTGGAAAATGATTTAACCTTGCAGAGCCTTAACTCCCTACTTCATGAAATGAGACTAATAATTGTGCCCATGCCTCAGTGTTTTAAGGACTGAAGAGTCAATAGACCTAAAGTGCCTACAGCAATGTGGGTCGTGAGCTGGCACTCAAGTGGGAAAATGCTGCTGATACCTTTCTAAAATCACATTGTAATTGCTTTGATTCACCTAACTTTTCAGCAAGAACGTTGAACCTGTGTTGGAGTGGGTCACTCTCTTTGGCAGTAGATGTGTGCTGGGTATAAACAGCACCAGGGCTTCTTCCAACTATTTAGGAATTAGCTGGCTGGTACATATTCACACTTCTGGTTATGCTGTATTAACAGTTATCTCAATACAGTTTACAGGCACCTATAATGGTAGAGTTGGAATGGATTTTTAGACCGTGTGTTCCACTAGTTCCTGAATGCTAATATGTAAACTATGTCAGAGAAACTACAGAAAAAATTATCAGGCTCCACCCTTGGAGATTTTGATTTTATAAAGTAAGAAATGGCTTTGGGAATTTCCATCTTTAAAATTTCACAAGTAATTTCCATGCATAGCTCAGATTCTTGAAGGCCAAAGATATTACTAAAAGTTGAATAACTTTTAGGTCAATTTGAAACCCAAATTTCCTAGTTCATGATTCTAAAGTTGCTCTTTTTACTATGACTAGTTTCCAGTAATAAGACGGGCAGATGTTTTCATTGTCGAAGTTTACAGTTTGAATTGTATGATTTTCTTGAGCATGGAGGACTGTCAAATGGCATTTAGTCATTCTGGTGAACTATTTGTTATTGTCTTATTAATGATTTTTTTTCTCAGTAGTCCACTTATTTGTTCTGCCCAGACAACTTATGCAACTTCAATTTTTCCATTCAGACAGATCTTTTCTTCTTTTTGACATTTCCTACAAAATCATTCCTTTATGGTCCGGCTGGGATCACTGGACGGTATTGAATTTTGAATGTTTTCCTGTATTTCTTGGATTTCCAGGGTTAGAGATTAACTAACTTGACCTCTCCATTCTACTTGTACAAATGATGAGCACTTCCCCAAGGCCATAGATCTAACAGACCATCATCAGAATCAGAATCAGTTGACTCCAGTAGATCTCAAGCTATTTTTCCACTTAACAATGTATATACACAACATTGTAGATTTTTCTTGTTCCTCATCCCTCTCTCACCACTTTTAATTACTGCAACTGATTCACTTTTTGTTCCCTCTGTTTGTGTAATTTTTTTTGTCTTGATTTCTTTCTCGGTCTCTTATTTTTCTTTCCAATTACATGGTAAGTATCTCTTTATTTCTCTTGCTACCAACATAAAGATTCCCAGGAAATGACAATGATCTAATGTTTTCACCTCTTTACTTCATTTATCAGCAACAGACTTTACTTAGCAGGCCAGGTAGATTGTTATTTTGTCAGATTTTTCACCTTACTCTCTAAAGCTGGAGATCATGGGAACATTTTCATCTCTAGTAATTCACAGTATTGTTTCACATTCCAGACTTCCTCCAAGCAATGTCATTCAAAGGAAGAGCTCTGTGAAGATGACCATTGCTTCTCACTCCTTCCCAGGAGAGAGGACAGAGCCATAGAATTAAAGACAAAGCATTTCACTCCTGAGAAATGAATTCTAACCTCAGTCATTAGAGACAGCACAGAGGGACCACAAAAATACAGCCTGTGTGAAGAGGCAAGCTCTCTACAGTGCCGAAATGCTTAGTTATGCCTGCATCTTTAGAAAAGTCTTAATTGTAAAGATTCCGTTTAAAAGAAAACAGAAAAGATGAGAAGTCAAACTGGTACCAGCCACCACCGTTAAGGAGGGATTTGTGTTCGATGGCTATCAGCATGAGATGCATCTTCATGAAGCAGAGCCTGGGAAAGGAGAAAAGAAGCTGTAAGGAGAGATGAGCAAGCAGGACACGAGTTCAGGAGCCTGTGGCCCACACTTTTGTGCTCCATGTTAGGAAGAAGACCAACACCTTGGTGGAGTAAGGAAGCCACAAACACAGATTTTCCCCAGCTCTTGCAGGTAACCCCTAGGCAGGGACACAGAGTTACATGCACTGTAACTCTGAAGTTGCAGTGACCCTGAGTTATCTCATCCTCCCCCTTAGATTTGTTGCTGGGCTCTGGTTGACAGTGTCCCCTCTATGAGCATCATCCAAAGAAAGCTGTGTGCGGAATGAGGGAAGCATTTTACTTAACTCACCTGGAAACCTCAGGAAAGCTCATTCCAGCAAAGTCATCAGACAGACGCTGAGTCAGAATTTTATTCTTCAGGCCATCCAAGAAATGTTTTTGCCAAAGCTCCTTTGCCGAGAGCTGGGAGACAAAGTCACCAGTATAAGAAATGTGGAAGTGAGATGGAGGATGTTAGAATACATACCACTAGTTTCCATTCAGGGACCAGGAAGGAGATTTATCCTAGTGCATACCTGATAAAAAGAAAGCTTGGCAGAACTGAAACTCAGTAATTTTCACCAAGGAGTTAAGGATGAGGTAATACATCACATCTCAGTTTCTTATCAGGTGGCATCCAAGTCTCCTTGTTGGAAATTAGATTTCTTTTCCCTTTCTCATTCCTAAATCATACATGGTTTAGGGTGTACAATGAAATGGAAGACATAAGGTGGAATCTATGTTGTATTTCTCTGGGTGTGATTATTTAAGATGGCTTTTGAAATATCTCGGACTTCTACTGATGCACCATACATTACAAAGAAAAAATATTTCTGCCTTCTGTCAGGGTCACAAGACTTCCTTGGTTCAAATAAATTCAAAGAGACACCTCAATCAATGGTAATGTTCATGTAAAAATCAAGGATAGCAGTAGGTTTCCAGGGGAACAGGAGTTTGAAAGAGAAGGTACTGTGGGGTATTTCCTCTCCAGCCTGTACGTCACCTCTGCCTCATCCTCTTTCCCTGGTTCCAGAAGACTCACTACCACACTGCCCTGATAGGGAAGGACAGGGTCTTGAACTCCAGAATCTCAGGTAAAAGTTACATTTCTATAACTTACTGAAACTTCTTCATTCTGAAGTTATGACCACTTCAGAAATTTTCCTCATGCTCATTTTTGTGTTTGAGAATCACCCTTCTGAAAAGGACCAACTAGTTCAGGCACATTAGCATCCTTCCTTATCTCCTTCTTTCACAGTGAGATTCAGCAGAATTTCTTGCCATTTCCCAGTCTCTGAGGTTAGAATCCTCTCATGAAGAGTGCTGACCTCACCAGGCAGTTTATATCACTATTCAAATCTTAGTTGCTAAAGAAATTGGATTAGTGCTTTGAGTTAGTCACCTTCGTTTCCCACTGGGACAACATATCTGCCACCTTTAACTCTATGGAAGACAGGTTTGCTTTGGCTTATGGTTTCAAGTATTCAGTTCCTGGTTAGTTGACTTCAAGGCAAGAATATATAGTAGAAGGCTGTGGGGGAAGAAAGCTGTGCAACTTGTGGTAGTGAGGGTGTGAAAGACAGGAAAAACAAGATGAAAGGCATGTCCCTCAAAGACATACATCCTGTGACCTACTGCCTTTAATAAAGCCATATCTCCTAACAACACATTCCGTTCTAAATTCATCAGTGGATCTATTCATTGGTAAGGCTGCTACCCCATGATTTAATCACCTCCTAAAAGCTCTACCTCTGAACTCACAAACTATTGAAAGACATTTTTTACCCCAGCTCTAATACACTTCTCATATAAATGTTTCAGCTTTATAAAGTTCATAAAAATAATAACTGTGGAGATGGAGAAGCTTTCTTGGGAAAGTTTTTAAAACATCAAAGAGGAAAATTGGATGATGATGTAGATATTGTGTAGAAGATTTTAGGGGCTCAGGTAATCCAGCTATATTGGATCTAATCTATTTTTAAGCATAAGGCAGTACTTTTGACCAACAGCCAACTGGAAATGCTCTTTGGACTACAATTTCTCACATGATAATTTATACAATTAAAATACATGGTGTTTACTCAAGACCTCCTAATAAGAGTATGCTTTTTACAAATACTAACTCTGCCCTTACAAAAATCATATTGTGAGATTGATGAGCTCCATTTTAGTGCAGAGAACTAAGAGACAAAGGAAGTGAGGGCCTGATTTGAGAAAAATATGATTCAAAACCTTAGAGTCCTGGCCACTACATCAAAGTTCATTGAATACTGCCAGTTTAGGGTTTCTGAATGTGACTTTCAGCCTTCAGTAACAGAAAAATATGTATAAAAATACATGCATATTGTATGTAAGAGCACGTGTGTGAGTGTACATATGTGTGTACTTGTGGACTTCATTTTTGTAGACTACAAACATCTATTGTATTCTGTAAGTCATCCTATGATGAATATTGGAAGGTGTCTATTACTAAAAATGATTAACAGCACAGATTTTTTTGAGAGAAAACAAAGCAGAAAAACAGGTTTAACTGGTTTTACATCTCTGTATTCTATATTTTTATAGAGGAGGAGACAGTGTCTTCATACAGAATTTTCATTGCATCTGTTTAATCCAGGCACGGGTGTAAAGTCACAATAATCTCTGTCTCTTTCCTGCATTCCACACAGGTAAAGGATACTTCCTTACAAGCCATACTTCAACCATACACAATGACTACTAAGTGAAGGGAAAGTCGTGCTCATCAAGGTTCATTCCCTTCTGACTAATGGTCTTTTCTTGTTATCTATGTAATATATCTCTTTACATTCACTGAGGAAATTACCTAAGAATTGTTTGCTCCAGTTAGCATTTTACTGGCCAGAACATCTTTTGCTTCTTTCTCTTTTCCTTAATGGCATCAAGGAAGGAACAGGAAAAGATGTAAAATTTAGTTTTGAACAGAGATCTACACCAAAGAGAGACTAAGAGAGGTCTCAAGTGTATGAAGCAGCAGTTTGAACTCAGAATAAAATGGAAAGGATGATCACTTCCTGGAGGGTCTTTAGGTAAGGATACTTGACCCAACAAAAGGTTGGGGCTCTTCTTCTGGAGCATTTCATGGAACTGCTATTTGGATTGCTACCCTTTGGTGCTGTAGCTGTTCATAGAGCATGGTGGTAAGATTGTGGACCAGAAAACTATTGTTTTGTATTCACTAATTCACTCTACAATCAAGATAATTAGCTTCAGCAACCCCACTGCAAAATATTATAGAGAAATAACACATAAATCAGTACATGATCACTATTATTACTACTGCATGTACTTTCCTTGAAATAATCTGATAAACATTTGTTTTAAATTATTTGGATCGCTACTTTTATTTGAATAATTATTTATTATGTTGTTATTCCTAATTTGATTTGCATTTAAATATTTGAACTATTCATCAATAATATAATCTTTGTTTAAATTTTCACTTTCAAAGTGCTTCCAAACTCATGAATATTATTTATACATATGACATTCTGGAATGGACATAGGAAGCAGAGTTATGATTTGTAATATAAACACTGCAGGAATAAGCCAAGTGACTTTTTCAAGGCCAGTGAAATATCTGGAGCTTTGATTTAGATTTCTCAATCTTTTCCCAGATTAAGGAGAAGTCAAGTTCATTTCTTGGGAACTTCTTGTTTTCCTCAAAAAAAAAAAACTTGGTATTTTCTGATTCTGGTACTAATCTGTGTGACATGGGGAAACAGACAAGATTCAACATCAGTTTACCTTTCTGTTTTGCTCAACAAATAGAGATGTTAGAAAGGTGCACAAGCCTGGGACCAGACAACCTTGGGCAATAAATCCAAGCTTTAATTCAGCAAAGCAGATGATGTTGTCTCCAATATTCCAGTTCCAGCTGGGAATCTTGGGCAAGAAAACCTGTTTCAGGGTAGAAATCAGGTCAAGTGGTCAGGATACATATCTCTCAAAAAAATTCTTCTGAATGGATGTCTATCATTTCATCTACTTGATATCATTTACTCTTCACTTTTGGGAATAAAGGTAGTATGTAGGTCAATGCAAGAAATAATAACAATGCAGGATTTTTAAGTGGTTTAGTGGTTTGACAATATTATAAAATCAGATAGCTTACACTTCTAATTCTGACCCCAAGTTATACCTTTAAGTAATTCATAATCTTAATAAGACTCCGAATTTCACCTCTGATTGGTAAATCTTTTCTAATTTGTAGACTCATTTGAGAATGGTAAAACTCACCTACCACTATAGATGTACACAGAAGGAGATTGAACATTCAGGACTATTTCATACCTTATTATGTGACTGAAGAATCTGTATGATGATTCTAGTCTTAGGGAAATAGTTCTTGATAGAGAGGACCCTGCATAAACCACAATTATGCTCATTAGTTATATGTCATACCGTAATTTTTACATAAATCAATTTAGAGTTGAAATGATACATGAATAAGTAAAGGAGGACAGTAAATACATAACTGTGCTTTCCATGATGTTCTATGAATAGTATATACAGAAAAGCCCCACTGTTTCAGTGACTAATTTAGATCAGACCAATATGTAGAAATGTTACTTATTGGGTTTGGAAGACAGCGGTCTTCTGGAACCAGTTCTGGAGGAGGAAACACAAATTGCACACTTTGGTCTTCTGACCAAACCACGATGAATACAGTGAAAAATAGAAATTTATTTGCCATCCATAACTTGAAGTACACTGTATGATATTTAGTCTAACTTTCCTATCTTATGAGTTAGGGAACTAAGAACGGTTTCATATTCACATATGGTGCACATCCTTAGCTATATCTCTCTGTAAAGTCACCTTCAGCTATGCATATTTATTTTGCTCTGTAGACTGAAAGTTCATATGGTAAAGAACAATATCATTTCCACCTGTTACAGTTTAAACCTTAAGTCCCCCGAAAGTCTTAAGTGTTTGGAAAATGTTGGGATCACAGAGTCAGCCAGTACTGGATTGAATCCTGTACAAACTGACTCCAAGCAAACTTCTCCTCCTTTAAACTGTGTGGACTGGGTGTTTTGTTCTAATGATGGGTTTGTGACTAATATACAAATTGTAACCAGAGAAGTGGGGCCACTGATTTGAACAGGTTCAGAAATCTTTGGAACTGGTTTGTGGAAGGAACTTAGGAATGTTTGGAGATGAGGGCTGAAGAAGTCATAGAATATGGGAAGCTGAGAAAACAGAGACTGATGAGAGATTCCTGTCAGATCTCAGAAGGCTGAAAGCAGATAGAAACGTGAAGATAAAAGGCCAGATCAGAGGTTGCCTTTGGGAACAATTCCACTGGTAGCTGGACCAGATGTCATGTGTGTTACAGTCTGATAGAATACTTGTCTTTATTTTGGAGAGTTTGTGAGGACTGAAGTTAAGGGCACTGGAACAATAATGTGGTGGAGAAAAATTCAAAAGAAGCCCAAAGTTCAGATTTTTGCATAGGTATTTCTGAGAAGTGTGGGCAAAAAGCAAGTGTGAAAAGTTTGTGGTTTCAGCATAAAGAAGATTATCTGCAAAGTTGAGCAGATGGAAAGCACAGTTGTGAAAAAATTCTGTGCAATGAAAATAAGCCACATACTTGCATGAAGACAATAGAAAAGATGGCTTGAAAATGTCTTAAGATTAAAGAATACCTTATGTTTTGTAGACTCAAGTATTTAAAACTGCATAACTCTCATTTGAGAAGGAGCCTCTGCTCTAGAAAGACTGCTGAGGGAACTGGTTTCCTAGGATTCATTTCATTGTGCTCAGCCGTGCAGGCACTTAGAGGCCCCCAGCACTGTAGTGCAGCAATGGGTCAAGGTGTCTAGCTGCTGCCTCAGTCTCCAGACCTTGACATCAGTCCTGTGATGCTGGCTTTTCAGGCATGCAGAAGGCAAGACTGTGGGGTCACAGAAACTTTGACTCAGATTTCAGAAGAAGGTCTGGGAAGCAAGGCAGTAAACCCCTCAGAAAGCAAGGCCTACAACTATGAGAGTTAAGCTGAAAGTGTAGTGGGTACCATTGGAAGTTAAAGATACCGGCAACACGGACCATCTGCTGAGGAAAGCCTCAAGTAGGCATCAGAGCCAGCTTTAGAGAACGGCCATGTGAGCTGCAGCCAGCACCACCATAGGGATAGAGCTGCTCAAGCCTGTGGAGCTCACATTTCAACATGCCCTGCCAGGGTGCTTGACAAAGACTTACAAAGTTAGTGTTTGCCCTGCGGGGTTTCAGACTTACTTTGATTCGCCCTTTGTCATGGTTTATGTCTGTGTCCCCCAGGCCTCATGAGTTTGCATTGTGTATTTGTGATTGGTTCATTGTCTAGTGCTTGGATTGATGGTGTCAGTGCTCCACCCACATAGGGGTGGAGCCAGGATGTGATGTAATGGCAGGAAGAAGGTGTGTCTTGCTCTTTGCCCGTTCCAGCTTGCTGTTTGCAGCCACCATGAAGTGCGGCCCAGCCATGCCTGCCTGTCTTGGAGCCAACTAAGTGTGGACTGAAACCTCCAAAAACTGTAAGAAATAAACCTTTCCATTCCCAACTTGGGCATCAGTTACTTTGTCTCAGCGACAAGTGAAAAGTAACTAAGACACCCTTCTATTTTTCTTGTAACAGACATATTTACCTTATGACATCTTTGTATTGGAAGTACTTTATTTTTGCTGTTTACAGAGACTTATAGCTATGAATTAGCCTTGGGTCTCAAGAGATTTTGAACTTGGACCTTTTGGTAATAGTGGAATTGTAAATGTTTTGGTAACTCTTAAGACAGATTATATGCATTTTCTTTTTTTTTCTTTTATTTTAAAGAGAATAAAAATAGACAAAAAATAAAATAGAACAAAGCCAATCATAACAAACCAGTGTAAGTGACATAGGACTTCAATACTGTACAAAATCAATAGTGGTTACCATAATGCATCTTATTGTCTTCAAAACAACTATAGATACCTTTAGACAAATCAAATAAAATGGAACAGAGTAGAACTAATAAAAACAAAACAATGAATGCAATAAAGGACTTCAAAACAAGATGACAGTAAATCCAAAATGGCTACCATAATATATCTTGCTATCTTTGAGACAGCTGCCCATGCCATTGGATATAACAAAATCAAACAAGACGGAAGAGAATAAAACCCAGCCTAACAAAACAATGAAAATGATACAGAACTTCAAAACAAGATAACAGGAAATTAACAATGGCTATGACCTTTAGAAGCTGCCATATTGCACCCCATGATTCTCTGAATAGATGATCAGACCACTGGCCTTAGACCTGTAAAGTCAGTGAAACAGCACTGTGTGTGTGCGTGGCTGCTTCTTGTTGATTTCTTGTTCTCTTCCCTCCTCAGTCCACAGATGGTGCTGACTCACAGGAAAAGACTAGAGTCTGGCTGTCCCCAGGGGGTGGTGGCTTCAGTTTTAAACAAATGTCAGTATTTTTCTTTCTGGGATAAAATGTCACAATATAATTTTCCTTCTCCAATGAGAGGCTTCTAGACATCTGAACATGGGTCTGGGATCATTGCTGAGAATAGCCTAAAGTGACCACATATATAAAATGCATTTTCTATAGTGAAAGGACATGAGTCTTTGGGTTGCCAGGGGATAGAATGCTGTGCTTTAGATCTAAAATGTCCCCCAAATGTCTCACGTCTTTGGAAGGTGACTGAATCAAGACAGGTGCTATACTCTGCAGTGGAATAGTCTACTGGTGAGTTCATAGCTGGGGTGCTCTTAGGAGGTTGGGCCTGGTTGGAGCTGGGTCACGGGGAGTGTGAACAGAAGGCTGTATTCTTGTCCCCAGTTCTTCCCTTTTCTCTCTGTTTCTTGGCTGCATCATGGGATGAGCAGCTGTTCTCAACCAGGGCACCACGGTCTATCATGATACTTTTGCCTTGGAACCAGCTGACTTTGGACTGAATCCTGTAAACACTGTGAGCCAAAATCACTTCTCTTCCTTTAGTTCTTTGTGCTGTGTGTTTCATTCCAGCCTTCGGGTAGCTAATACACCACCATAATCACAGCCAAACTTCAATTAACACAAGTCAGACTCCTGCTTACAGATAATTTGTAGCTAAAGATATTAATGTTAACCCTGTCCTCCTTGAAAACACCTGCCAATGGTTATAACTACGCCATACTAACCATGCCTAATATTTCACAAGCAGTACAGAATAAAAATCCCAAGAAGTGTACAAATAAGGTTAAAAGCTGTCATCCTTTTAAGGAAAAGAGAACCTTAGTTAAATGGTGCTATCTCAATAGTAATCAGTTATTTGTATATTTGTCTTTTAAATTTAGATATCTATTAAGTATGAAACATTGGGGAAGAGCACCAAGAAACACACATGCACATACGATGCTCTAGTTTCACTTGTATCTGTCTTCATATTACAGTGTGTCCAAAAATAAGCATAAAACTGGAATGTAACAAAGCACATGTCATCTCTGATGATGACACCTTGTATTTCTTAGTCCTATGCACTGGGCTTTATTTAAGTGGCAGTAGAAAACAAATCAGCACCAGAGAATGCAAAGCTCAATGCCAGCTCCTTACCTCATGATGTTTGAAGTGTCTTCTGCCTGTGAATCACTGCACAAAGGGTTGGCTAAAATCAGGCATGCTTCGGCAAACTCCACCTACTCTTCAAGATTAAACAGCAGCCGTTTTGTTAATCACATCAGAAAGTGGCCTAGTGTTCCTGATGTTGGGCTTTCTTATGAAAAATTGCCAGTAAGAAAGATAATGCACATGGAAAGAAGCTACAGTCCTGAGGCCTTTATCAGGATTATAGTCCTGTAGATACTTTCAGGGTGGGGTGACTACTACAGCTGATGGACCAGGGTCTCCAACACAGGTGGAAGACTGCTTCAATGTGTGCAATGTACAAACTGATGTTTTTCTTACCACCCATCACCATTATTTTATATCTAGTGACAGGCATTAAGACCATTTCAGAAACTTGCTGTATAATTATTTGCCTTAAAGGACAGCAAAGAAAAAAAAAAGGGAGGAAATAGGAGTTTTCTTGACGCCACATACACAGTTATTCAATATATTTTACATTCTGAATCTTAAGATTCTAGAAAATTATGGAAATATCACCAATAATACTGAGCTATAAGACAGAAAGTTTACATAGGGTCTGTCATTTTTGCACGAAGTCATTATATAGCTTTCTTTTGAGCTTAAAAGTTTTGGCTTATTGATTGTGCAAGACTTAGGACATGAAAGGAAGGTGTCTTTGATCTAAAACCAAAACTGACTAGAGGGTTGGCTATTGCTCGCTATTTGTAGTTCCAACCCTTAATGAGATTTTGCTATTCTCCTTCATGTTTCCTTATGTGAAGACCTAAATTAGTAGGCTCGGGAGAAGTTGGTTAGAATGATGGGTACTAAAATTTTGTCTTCTGGTAAGAACCATATTTGGATGGTAACATCAAATACATTTTTGTTCTTCATAATCTTTTCAGATCTGATGAAGAATTTAGTAAATAAAGAACTTAGTAAAATAAAAATTTTAATGTAAGTGTCCACAAATAACACTGTCTACTTCCTTTTGTCAAGGAAGATTTGGAGGTCAAATATTATACTTTTCTTTGAATCAGTTTAAAAGTTAAGAAAGCTACACTCCACCCCTCCCCAGATAAAGGATCTAAAGTAGCCATAGGGAAACCACAAGAAGAGAAAGAACTAGATCTTACCGCAGCTCGCTTCAGATCATTCCACTTCAGTGCAGATCCAAACAGGAAAGTGGTGTAGGCCAAATTGCATTTAAGTATGGTTTCCAATTCCAAAGAAGGAAGGACCCTAGGCAAAAGAAAGTGGCGGTAAAGATCACTGACTTTGGTTTGTAAGTTGTAATACAAATTTAGTGCATTTAACAGATCCATAATTTCCCCTTGGAAAATATCCGTCATTTATTATTAATCTATATGGTTAGGTTATCTGGGCATACTCAGCCTAGTTCCAGGGAGTTTGTCGCTTAAGCCTAAAGCAATCGCAATGTTGTGAATCACAGTAAGGAAGTGTAATGGTGAGAGAGGGAGAGGAATTCAAGACGCCAACAAAATTAGAGCGTTCAACATGTGTCTTTCATTTACTGACAGATCAAGGAGGAGAACAACCAAGTATTTTGAACACCAGTTTGATGTTTTTTCAATCAATACTTAGAAATAAAACTTAGAAAACGTATTTTTAAGAGTACAAAAGTTACTGACATGGTATTTTGCTCAATCAGAAAAGAACCCCTCAATATATTACAGAATATAGTTTTTGTATATGTTATGGTCTTTTATACAGTACAATTAAATTAGATATTAAAAACCAAAAGATAAATTAAAAATATTTTTCATATTCAAATTTTTTTCAAAAAAGTGAACTGCTACATTTCTTTATGGGCTAAGAAGAAATCAGAGTAGTTCTTTGTAATTATTCTTAGAAATAAGACATGTTAACAACATTAAATACATATGCTTCTGGATACAACAGCAGCAGAGATTTACTGGATATATAGTTATGGACACTAATATTAGAATAAACTCAGAAAAGCTCAACAATGGCAAAAGCAGTTCTTTGAAAAATAGCTTAACACAGTAAGCAAAGCTTAACACTGATGAAGAAGAAAGAAAACATACAAATGACACATTGAGGTGGTCAAAATAGATGATGAATATTTGAAAGGTGAATTACAGTATTAGTTGTCACCATTATTCCCCTTCAAACTAGTCTTCCTTTCATAGAACACCACTGTCTCACCATTTTTGCCACTTTCTGAAGCAGCTCTGACAGTCCTGGCTCATGGCTTTATGAGTGATCAAGAGACCACACAGTGAAGGGTGCTTCCCAGTGCTGCCCAGGGGAAGCAGGCTCCTAAAAGCATCACTGTGCAGCCTCCTACTAAAACTTTTTAATTATCAAAAGAAATTGTACACTTAGTGAGAAGACGAGTCAAATTTTAATGAAGAGTTTTGCAAAGAATTCAGTTTGAGTTTCTCTGACACCCAAATAAGAAAACTAAATCTAATTTGCATCATCCCTCTTTTCAAAATTCTTAGAACTCAGATAAAATAATCAAGCTAAATGCCAGGTGTTTACAGTGAATTGCAAAATGCCTTTATTATCTGATGCACTGTCAACTGCAATATTTTGAAATACTCAGAAGCCATCAATCTAGAACTTTCCCTTCTAAAATAGTGGGCACTCCCTGCACCACACATGGTCATTGGCATTTGGAAGTGCGAACTTTGCATAGAATTCCATATGTAAAGTAGCAGGGCAGAGGCTTGTGCTTTGGAGAATGATAAACCAAGGAACTCCAGCCTCACGTTTACTGAAGACAGATAGAAATACTGATCAAAATATTTAGAAACTCATAATAAATCATCCAGTTTCTAAACACTGAACTGCAAACTCAAGGGTAAATCAGGCTTTTTTTTTCTCTTGAAGGCGCTTAGTATTCACAAAAAGCAAGACCCCCTGACACTCTAGTGGAGAGTGCTGCTGTCCAGTGCTTTTGATAAACAAAATAAAGGGTTTGATAATTGCTCCAAACTGTAAACTGAAATAATGAATATTTATTTGCAAGCATAGATGAACAGTAAAAGTGAATGAACTAACTTTTAAATGAACTACCACCTTGAATTTGTCACCTATGTAGTACAGAGGTGTTCAAAACTTAAATTTAGGTTAAAAAAAACCATTGTAGTTCACAGAAGTAAAAGAATAAGCTATCTGGAAGAAGATAACATTATTGCAACTTATAAACTGTTTCTTAAATTTTGCAATACAAGAATCAGAGCATAATCTAAAGGAATAGGGCAAAATTAAGACAGCATATGTCATATGCAACAGGATCAGCAAAAAATACAAACCAAAAATTTGAGATAAATGAATTAACAGACAAAAACTACTGTGTAATTATGTTCACTTTGCTGAACATGAAAGGTAAGCCTACAAATGCAAGTAATTATAAAAACTTCAGATTTACTGAAGAAACAAGCACATATTCTAGAACTAAGTAATACAATGACTGAAATTAAAAATTCGATGGATAAGTTGAGCATGGTAGCACAAGCTGTAAGTGATCCCAGGTACTTAAGAGGCAGGAGGATCCTCATTTTGAATATGGTCCTGGCAATTAATCAAGACCCTGTCTCAAAATTTTAAAATTAAAAATGACTGGAGATTTTAAATTTTAAAATTGAAAATGGCTAGGAATTTTCAGAGATTCTTTTGGTACTGGTACTTGAACTCCTGACGTTGCACTTGCCAGGCAGATGCTGTGCCACTGAACTAGATCCCCAACCTGACTTTTTGTTTGTTAAAGGAGAATCTGAAGGAGTAAAAAAAAAATGTTTGAAGGTAAAACAAAAAGGGGAAAAGGGCTAGTATATGGTGTTGTATAAGGGAAAGACTGGGGAATAGCCAGTATTTGAAGAAATAGTTGTGGATCTTTCAGAAACAGTGGAAGAACGTTCTTTGGCGAAATATTTGCATCCTAACATGATAAATTAGTAGAAATGCAAACCTCACAGTAAAAGAATAGCGTGCTTCATATTCAGTAAAATATACAGTCTTCTAAGAAGAGAGTTTTTGTAGTTAAGAAAATAGTTCCACAGGCCTCTTGATAACTGAAAACCCTTGTGAGTAGATGAATACTTTCATGGTTCTTAAAGAAGTAACTGTCAGGGTATAGCCAGTGTCCATGACATTTGCCCATGTGTGAATAAAAAACATAGATCATTTACATTAAAGAGTGACTTATTATTGTAGCTCTTCATTCAAGGGAAAGAGGAATGGTTTGGTTTTTTTGGCAAAAAGAACAACAGTTGTAATGCAAAGGAAGATCAGAGAAGCAAGGAGAAATAAATAGAAAAAAATTTAAATAGAAGGGTAGATTTAATGTAAACTGTTATAAAATTCTGAGTTGATAAAGTTTTAAACATTAAATAAATGAAGCTATCAGGTGAGACAGTGCATGCCAGAACTCTGGGAGGCTGAGGCAGGAGTATCATAAATTCAAGCCCAGGCTAACAATTAAGTGATTCAGTGAGACCCTGTCTTGAATTCAAATGAATGAAAAAATAGATAAATACATGGCTGGAAAAGGAGTTCAGAGTGAAAGCCCTCAAATAACGAAAATTTCAAAGGCGGAAATGTTAAGGGGTTAGACCAGATGCAAAGGGTTAGACATTTCCACATGTTAGTGATGATATAAAACAGCAATTCATTATTGCTGGTGGAAATGGCATGCATCAGGTAAAACCACTTTTCAGAACCGATAGTTGTGATGCAGAGAGATATTTAAACATTAGTAGCTCGCAATTTTATTCCTGGATACCCCAGATGAGCATTTGCATTGCACCTCTCTTTATTACAGGCAATATTTGAGGAAAATGTCACCAAAAGTAGAATGAAGTTAGAAAAATTGGAGTATGTTCATAAGGTGGACCAGAGTTAGTAGAGATTAGTGTGACTGTGTCCAGCTGCAGTGAATGAATATCACAAACACAGCATTGAGACAAACACATTTACAAGTCATTTATATGTTTTAAAACAAGAAAAGTCAAATAGTAATGAAAATAAACAGGGTAGATAAGACAATTAAAATTATTGGATGCAATGTCAGAGTTTTAGTTGCCTTTAGAGATTAAAAATGTGGAAGGTTGTGCAGGTGTCCTGGTGGTGGGATGTTTCTCATTCAGAATGGTTGTGACGTAGAGCTGTAGTTTGTATCCGACCATTTCAAAGTACATTTTAATTAGAAGTTTTAGCATATTTTTCCTATACTTTAATAACCTATATGAAACTTTTAGAAATTATTCATTTGTCTTTCATTACTATTATAATATTAATGTTGGAGAAATCAAAAGCCATGTATGCTATTTGCTGATATATCTACTGGATATGTTATATATCTACTGTATATATCATATATAATATGTATGATAGGCATCAGAAAAATAGACTCAATCATAGAGTTTAAAAAATAATGTTGAGGAAGTACAAAGTACAGTGTATCATTATGAAATAGTTGAACTTTCAGGGAATAACATACATTAGCCATAGTGATATATAAACAAGGATTCTTGTAACTAAATTCTAAGATAATTGTAATAGAGAGATGGGAGGAAAGTTGTGTACAATGCTAGAAAACGCTCATCTGCTATATATAGTTGTCCATAAATGCTGTCTACAGCTAAGGAATCAAAGCAATGGATTTTAACATCCATTTAAAATCCAAACATGGATTTTAAATTAAAAGAAATGCTATATCTAAGAGATCTGAGGTTGTGATCTTTGAGCAAGAAGACTGGGGGAAAGACAAGAATAAATTTCTTATAAAAAGATTTTGTTGTTTGATGTGTAAGTTATGTGCACACATTATTCTTTTGAATGGAGAATTTCTTTCAGAAAACTACACAGGTTTGCTTCCCCCCTAAAAACTGTTAGGTTTTAGGTGTCCCATCTACCTAATGACATTCACATGAATGCCTGTCCTTACCCTTATGTTTCGATTTTCACATTTCAAGCAAGTATAAATATGCTTGATTTTCACTTATCCTGCCCTACATTATTATACCTGCCTAGTATGAAAATTGATGTTTTTATCAGCTCTTGTTATTGTTAATCTCCACTGCTAACTTGATCAGATTAAGAATCCCCTATAGAGATGGTTAGATTCTGAGAGTGCTAATCTCATCAGTGGATTAACTAGGGATGTGTGCATAGCTGAATGGGCTCTTAGGAAGTGGGGTGTGGTTGGAGAGAAAGTAGCTCAACAGGGGAGTGTCTTTGAAGAGTACTTCTTTCTTTTTTGACTTCCTGGTTTCCATGAAATGAGCAACTTTCTTCTGCCAGGCCCTTCCACCATGATGATTCTGCCGTGGGGCCAGCTGACCATGGACTCAAACTTCTGCAACCATGAGCCAAAGGAAATTGTTCTAACTTTCAATTGTTTATGTCACGTATTTTGTCACAGCAATTAAAAGCTAACTGATACAATTCTATTCATTTATCATCTTTTAAACTTTTATTGTGGAAAACAGTAAATACACAAAGTATGTAAGACCTATATATTCAACATGAAGAATGACATTCATGTACTTACTCATGCATAATAATACACATCATTCAAGCAAAGAATCATCACATCATCACTTCTCCTGGTTGTTTTGTATCTAAATGTGGTTATCTACCTTTTCTGAAGTGTTTGAGAGTAGTGTAATTTTTATTTATCTACACTGTTTAGTTTAACCATATGAGAGGAATAGCTACTAGCCCTCTTTAACAACAGTGTACCACAGTCTGCCCACATAAATTCATACCCTTACTCTACAAAATACTCTCACTTTCTCCCCTCAAAGCCCTATGCCTTTATAGTATCAGCTCAAAGCCCTAAATTGTCATACATGTCAGGTGCAGACTCGGGGGGACCCTCAGGCAAAGCCCCTCCTGATCTAAAGGCTGCTGAGCAGAATAGACAAGTTCTCTGCTTATTTCTCAGCCAACATACTGGGGTGAGACGGGGTAGAAAACTGCAGTAGATGCTTCCAACTGGAGCAGCTGGGGGTGGAGGCAGAGAGCACAGAGCATCTCCTTTCCATCTCTCCCATTCCTGAAGTCTGTCTGAGTACTTACTAGTAGGATCCTCTATTTCTAGCCTAGAGAACACTTTGGGTGGTGACCCAGACCTGTTCTCATAGTAAATCCATCATTCTTGATCCTTATCTCTGCCCTCTGACCCCGAGTCATCATGTTTCTCTGTCCTTGACAAATGACCCATGTTGGTCCTGGTGTTGCTTTCTTGGCCTGATTCTTGCTTGTGCTAAAGTGGAGGCTCGGAAGCGTGTTTTTCATTTTGAACTCTCTTTGCTTTGTATACTCAGTGCTGGCGGGGCTACTACACAGCACAGTTTTTTTTTAAGATATTGAGAATTTTCTCTCAATCTTATTCAGATATATGTCATGTCCCAAAAGTCATATTCATGATTCCTTGGAGACAGATTTTTCTTAAAAATATGTCTGGCTTTGGGGAAGAATGTGTTTAAGCTTCTTTGAAGCCACTTTGCCTCACTGAGAGCATCTGGAGGTCACCACTCTAAATCTTTCTGCCTTCTGAAGAGTCTCCTAGCCACATCCTCGGCTGGACCTTGACCCTGCATGCATAGCTGCATTTGACTTTTCCTCTTGCAGTTATTTTTCTCTTAGACATTTTTTTGCCAGCTGGACAAACTATTCTGAACATTTCATATTTATTCTTATTTCTGCTGGAAAACTAAGGAATTTTCTTATAATAGCCTTCACGAGGAAAGAAAGGAACTCAGTACAGGAATCCTCTTAGCCAGCTTCATCTAATTTCATTAAGTACATTTTCCATCTCCCGTGTTTTTGCCACAGAAAATGTTACAAGATTCAACTGTGAGAACATAAGATGCTTCTGCTTTCATACCAAGTCTTCACAGCCTCTCCAGTCTCTGCCCAGAGTCCCTCTGTAACCCTTCAGTCTCTGGTCTCATCCAGTTCCAAGGAAAGGCTGTATTTTAATTTCTGGTATGACAATACTTCATTTCCAATACTGCGTTTTTTGATGTTAGTTATCCATGTGTACCAAACAGTGCATTCTGGAAAGTATAGACATAAAACAGTAATGGGTTATTTTCATGCTTTTTTTGGGTTGGTTGATCTCAGTCAGATGCTTCTTTCACTCCACATAGTGAGGCTGAGGTTGTCCCTTTGGAAGATTCCTTCTTCTGCTTTTTTTTTTAAATCTGAAAGCTGGATTGTCCAAAACCATGGCTTTCTCATATACTTGTAATCTCATATGAGAGTAGCTGGAGGTGGCTAGGCTTTCTCTCCGGTAAAATTATTTGAAGTCTTGCATGATGGCTCAGGGCTTCAAGAGAAAGTTGAAGCTATCATTGCTCTTAAAGGTTGGATGTGAAAATATCACTTCTTCAGCATTCTCTTGGCCAAACTGACTCATCGTTCTGTGTAGAGTCAAGGGGGCAGGGATGGACTCCACCTTTAACTTATATTCTTTGACGTGAATGTAAGGTACAGGAGAAAATGTTAACAGTTGTACTACAACAGTATCTACCTCACCTTCAGAGTGAGCAAATAAGGTAGAATTATAACACAGAGGGAAACTGTAAGATGCCAGCTCACGTACGATGGCTAGAGGGTTCCTGAGTGCTGGGGAGTGGGAACGCATGAGGTCATGCGCAAGGTAGGACAAGAGTTTCAGAGCAAAGTGGAGGAACAAATAAAGTGGGCTTCATAGAAACCGAACAGAGATAAGATGAAATGTTGAGGAGGTTTGTGATAGAGATGGAGCAAGAGAAATAGACTGAGGATTTTCGTGAGAATGATTCGTAGCAGTGATGAAAATGTACACAGGGCTCAATGCCTAGTTTTCTGTTTTAAGGAACTGCATTTCCCAGCTCCCACTGCCGTGGGCTTTCTGTCTCTTACTTGATGCCTTGTGAGATGGCAACGGGATATAAGATCATGAGTTCAGTTTTGGAAATGTGGATGAGGAAGGACTTCCTGTTCCTTAAACAGGATCATAATTTCCAGTAGGCAACTAGTTGTGTGAATACAAACCCACAGAAAATGGTGACAAATATGGATTTTGGAGACATTGAGACATGGGTATAATTGATAAAATTCTAGAGGGATGCTTCTAACATCAGACACCATTTAAAACCCCATTATTTTGACAAGCACATACAAGAAACCCACATTAGCTGATAAAGATGCAATTTCAGATAAAATATATCACTTTCCAAACATCTAATGAATTCAGGATGATGAATGGATAGTTAGCCTACAGTTCATCTTAGAACTTTCTTCTCCATCGTCTCCACTTTTCCCCACTATTTTCTAAAGGTTCACATAAAGCATACATTTCAGGAAAGACAGTTTGCACTGATGTGGAAACAGCTGTTCGTTGTTTGTCGCTAGCGTCATAATGTAGCTGAAATGCTGTTGGACATCACATAAACAAAAGCCCGAGTTCATGGTGGGGTGTCCTTCTCAGAGTGTAAAGTACAGACTGCACCATGTAAAGCAAGTGAAGGTTAGTGGGATCCTGTATGTAATTCCTGTACGAGATAAAAGCATTATTTCAAGTGTGGTTAACTTATTTAGAGAACAGTTTTTGGAAAACTGATTCATCATTTGAGAAAAATGAAGACGTTAGTTCTCCCCACATCATACACAATAAATTCTAGACAGCTAAAATTAAAAATCACGCTATGAAAATATTAGAGAAATAGTCTTTTAATTCCAGAACAAACAAACCTAAAAATGTCAGAAAAGTAAGGAGCCCAAAAGAATAAATTGATAGATAGAAGTACTTGTAAATTAAAACCTTCTGTATTAAAATAAAAGCACGAACAAAAGGTAAAAGTTGTAAGAAAATAAATATACAGCAAACGACATAAAAAGTATTATATGAAATACTTTGAGTGTTTAAAAGTCAATAAAATAATAAAAGCTCTTCTAATAGAAAAGAATAAAAAACATAGAGGCATTTCAAAAACAAGGAAAGCACTCAAAATGTAAAACTGCATATTCAATCTCACTACAAACTAAAGCTGAAAATTGTAAAATAAAGCAGTAAAAAGCCATTTATGTTGGGAAATAAAACTGAGAATTGTAAAATAAAATAGTAAGAAGCCACTGCATATAATTAATACTTTAAAATATCTTTGTATTAAATATGTATTTACCAGTGTTTGACAATCTACTTGATTTAGGCTCTGCTAGAAGAAAAGAAAACTGTATAGAACAAAAGCATTATTAAGGATAATCTCTTGTACTTCACTTTTTCAATCCTCAGAAACAGTTACAAAGAGTTATAAAGCACACCAGATCTGTGTTCAAAATTATGCTCATGTGCAATGACAAAAATATAGAGTAACTTAAATGACAAACCATGGAGAATCATTTAAGTAGTATTGGTGCATATATGGTGTGGTCAAAAGATATAGTAAATGTTTACATTAAAAACCAGTCACGGTAAAAGTCACAGTGCCATCCATTCCCTTCAGAACACCCTCCTGTGCTTGGAGTGCACTGATCCCGCCGTTTGTGAAACTTTCTGAATCAAGTCTGGTGGTCCTCTTCTGTGAGCATCTTTAACTGTCATGGCTGCCTTGATGTCCTGAACCACTTAAAGATATTGACCTTTCATAGTCATTTTGACTATGGGGAAGAGCCAGAGTCACATGGGTCCCAGATCTGGTAAATAAAGTGGATAAGAACACACCAGAATGTCTTTAGGAAGCTGACTTTCTGTTGGATAGCATGTGACTACTGTCTTCACCATACTTTTAATGGTACTTCATGAAAGTGTAAATAAAAGATGTCTTAATAAAAATAATATTTTAAAAATCTAAATATTCCCTGTATATTTTGATCACAATTTGAATGCTGAAAACTCAAATTTTATGCAGAAAGAAATACAAATTTTTAAAAATGCAAATATTTACTATATCCTTTGATCACACCTTAGGGGCAGGACACAAGATACATTACAAAATGCTTAATATAGGTTAACTTTAGACATGAGATTGCTTTCCTCTTCCTTTCTTGTGTATTACCATTTCCAAAATCTCTATGAGTATAACAGAATAATTTTCTCCCATTAAAGACATTTACACATATTTCAGGTACCAGTTTAGGACCTACGAGCCACACACTTACTCTCCCAGGAAAACAATCTCGGTGTTGATCTCCCCTGACCTGTTGTGTAGAAAGTTCCTCAGGAAAGCAGTCACGCTGTCAACAGTGATGTTTCCACAAACCACAATGAACCTGGGCATCAAAATCAAGAAGGCAGATTATCTGAGGAATGCATATTAAAGGTGCCCTGTGGTTTCCATGGGGAATGTGTTCCAAAATCCACAAGAACAGCCCAATCTGCAGGTGATCAAGTCTCCCTATAAAATGGTGTAGTGTAGTGTTTGCACATAAATTCTGTATATTTGAAGTCACCTTTAGATTACTTTTAATGCTTAATATAATGAAAATGCTATGTAAATAGTTGCTATACTGTCTGCTTGGGGAATTATGACAAGGAAAATATGTCTGTGCCAGTCCATTTCATGTGCAAATTTTCAAGTATTTTTCTAACTACAGTTGGTTGAGCCCACAGATGTAGAATCTATAGATGCAGGCAGGACTGACTGTATCTTCCTGTTCAGTTTTACAGATGAACAATTAGTTTAACCTTGTTTGTAAATAAGCTTGATATTTAACTAGAGAAGCATTAAACACTCCATCTCTAATGTATAAAAAGCGTCAGATTTCTGCAGTCTTTTAGCTGTTCTCAAGTCTGTGTGTTCAGTGGCTCTATACATAACTTTGCAAGAATGCAATCCTTATTGCTAGATTTGTCATGGCTATTTATAACTTAAAACAGATTTTCCACTTAATGTTTTCACTTGATTCCTATTGGATGATACAGTCTTTATTTTTCATTGAAATTCAGAATCGTTCAATCCATTTTTCCTTTGTCAGATACCATGGTGAAACCAATCTAGAACAAACCATGCTCTTGATTGCTTCAGTGTGCCCTCCACATCTAAAAGGACCTGGTAGTTATAAGACAAATTAGTGCTATGATGAGATGGCTGGACAAGAATAAATATCTACTACATTTTTGTGAAAATAGTTGACAATGTTCTTAGATTTAATATAGTTAAAAACAGTATTTTTCCACTATTACTCATAGAAGAATGATTTTGGTCTAGTGTAAGTTAACCTTAAATTTTTCAGATCAGGATGGCTGATTTATATGTGCCCTACATGCCTTTCTTGAGATAAATGGAGTTAGGCTTTGGTTTCTCTGCTTTACTGGTTCTCAGTATACTTTTTTTTTTATTAATTTCATCATTTTTCCTTTATTCTCTGTACAACTTTGTCAATCATAATTTTTACCAACTGTGCTAAGAAACGGCTCCAAAGGAGTTTACCTACATTGTGCCTCTTTCATATAAAGGCTCAATAAAAAAGTATCACAGTGAATTTAACTTCTGCAATCCATTCTTTTCTTCTTATATATAAAAAGACATAATGGTAGCTGGGATAGCATGAGTCCACAGGGAAATAGGATAAGAACATCTCAACCTCGATTACCCTTCTGGGACTAAATGGCTAGAGCTTTGGAAAAACCAATCATTCAAGAAGCACCAAAGAAGGCAGAAATTGTTCCCCACTGTAGCAAATCTTTGACCAAAAACTGAGCCCCAAGTGGTTAGGGCAATTTTACCTAAGAAAGCTTCACTACATTAATTATTTTAAACTTGAGGCATGGCTTAACTCAATCCACTGTGAAATGTGATCAGTGTTACTCTCATGGTGAAAATGAACAAGACAGTTAGTAATAGCTATGAGAATAGCTAGTGACAAGAGACACAGAAATACTGCCATCCCCAATAGTATTTATCAGCAGTGAGTTACAACATTATCTGTCATTTTAATTCTGAGTGTTATCAGAATTGAAATGAAGTCACATGTGTTGATTAGAGAAAGAAAAAGAGGCACGCCAGCAAGAAAGTCAGCCTGAAACAGATGCAGGACGGGTTTCACATGCATGAATGAATGGCAGTAAGCATCATAGAAGACTCTGCCCGACCCAGCTTGCACAAAGGCCACTGCAGCTTTACACACACACACACACACACACACACACACTTATGCATGGATGTTTGCCCAGCGATGGTCTATTCACTCTCACACTGATGCCACCTTTGCCATTATTCTTTGCAGCCAAGGGTTACAGTCTTAATATATGCAATCTTTCTAATTTTATTTATTTATTGAAGAGTTGCTCACCAGGTAGGCTGGCCTTGAACTCCCAGGCTCAAGAGAACACTGTTTCAGTCTCCTGAGTAGCTGGGATTTCAGGAACTGCCACTGTGACCAGCTTTCATCCATTTGAATGTGCTTGTAGTACTATGGCATGTATTCTCATTTAAAGATTAGTCTTTGGGGAATCTCTCTCTCTCTCTCTCTCTCTCTCTCTCTCTCTCTCTCTCTGTCTCTGTCTCTCTCTCTCTCTCCCTCTCTCTCTCTCTGTCCCCCCTTACTCCTCACTATTTAGGTTGAAATACTTGATTTAACACTTTTACAAGCACCTATATAGTAGTTTGTATTGAGTAGAGAGCATATTTACATGTTATTTATTCTAACAAAGAATTCTTTAGTGAATGAAGAAACTTCCCAGCAATGAACCTTGGGTTCCATAACTTGGCTAGGTAACAGGCAACTAGAAGGAGATATGTGACTGATACACATCTTAAACTGCTGAAAGTGTGTTTTAAAAGTTACTTACTTCTTTCCTTTGACCACTTCATAGAAATTGGTGTATTTCCTCTTGTTAGCAAAAAGTTCCACCATTTCAGGGACATAGTTTGCAAACAGGACCTAAAATGATCAGCAAACCCTAGGTCTTGTTATTTTAACAAAAGATACCCCCAAATCTGCAGACTAAAATGAAGAAAGCAGATGCATATAACTTTCATCTAGAGGAATTTATGAACTGAATTTTAAAAGGGAGATTGTTTTTTGTTCCTTACTTTTGTATCTAAACTGCATTAAAGTTTAATGAGATGGCTGTCAGTATTCAACTGATAAAGCCAAAGACATGCCAGAAGGTGGCTTCCCATCAGTTTTGACACTTAGCGACTTTTGTCTCCCTTCTGCGTCTGACTTTATGCCGTCTGCACCTTGGGACATTCTAGTGTGTGAGGAAAGTGGTGACTGAAATGAAAACACACAACACCATGGATGGGAGACTAGAAGAAAAGGCAGTAGAAAACTCTATTGTGGCTTTTAAAGGAATGAAAAAAGGCAGGCTTCCTTTACTCTCACTGTACTCCTCAATCCAGCAGGGTCCTCTCTTGTCTGGAATCAGAAGCTCATGCCCAGTGCTCACCCACTCGGGGTGGACAAGATGGAAATTTCTTCCCAAATTTCAAATGTTCTCTCACTTTAGGAGAAAAGCCAATGTAATGGACAAATACAAAGGAAGATAAGTTTGCAGGAGTCACTGCAGAGGCTAATAAGGATAGTCTGCTCCTTTTGTCTACCAGTCCTCACCCCTGAACCCCAAGAAACTGTGCCATGGGTTCTAGGGAACGCAGCTTGGAAAATAAGGGATCTACTCATCTTTGCATTTTCACTGACACTTATTCAAAATGAGGCAGTCTTCATCCTCACTCCTAAACCATTTTATCTCTCTAGATTAATGAACTGTTTTGGCTTATGTAGCTATCTTCAAAAGATACTAAAATATTCTTTACCAAACTCCCCAGGGTCAAGCACATGATGAAAGTCCGCCCGAGGCTCGTCTTGGCCACCACGTCTCCAAAGCCAACAGTTGACATTGTTGCTACGACCAGGTAAATGGAATCGAAATAGGATATATTTTGTGCGTTTCTACCTTTGAGCCAGAGATCGCCAGAATTCTCCACCTGTCCACAGAGACAAAGGAAAGACTACTGAATGGAACACTAGGGATAGTTTACAAAGAGCAGGCTGACTGTTGGCTTAACTTCACTCCATTCGATTCTAATAAATGATTCTTAGGCAACCACAAAGGTTTTGTGAATTATGAGCTGTGGTTGGAAAGCCTCATTCTCCTGAATGATGATTATTGCTGAAATGCGAGGGCACGTGTTTTTGCCTAGTACTGAGGTCACCTCACAAGAGCAGGCGGCCCCTTCTCTCCATGCACGAAGCACAACGTTGCCTCTGAAACCCCAGCGACTCCCACAGCTCTCAGACCCAGAGGTCACCATTCATTCTCATTTCCTAACCAGGTCGGGAGCATCACTAGGGAAAGAAGCCCAGCACTGCATTTCAGTGAGCTTAAGCAGATGAATAGTAGCGTCTCAGGAAAAACACACAGCCTTGCCAAGTTATTTCTCTGGTCCATGCAAAAATCTTTCACAATTAAAACAAAGCTGAGTATTTTTCTTGAGGCTTTTCCAAGTCTTCACATTTTACAGAAATCATATTTATCATATGATTATCAATTTCATATTGAATACATGGAATAATAATTATTTATATTCAAATTATATACAATTTGTTATATAGAAAGTATTCTGTAATGTGTCATGTATGATATAAAATGGAAAGTTACAATATACTTGTATATATTTATATATAATCCTCCTTTCTTCCCATTTTTAGAGATTTTTTTCACCCATGGATTCTGTTTTTCTGGAGATTTCTTGGGGGAAAGAGGCTTTTTGTGTTGTTAAGAACTGGTTTAGGAATTAGCAATGGGCTGGATCCCTTTTTAAAGGAGATGTTCCAAATGTGAACTGTTTCCTAAATTTGATGGGTGGCTTGAGTGTGTGGATTCCTACAATCCTTCTCTCCAAAATAAGAAAGACCTTGTACACCTGTACTTTTTACTTCCAAGCTAACAGGAAATATTTTTATAAAGTGTACTCATCTGCTTCCACTAACTTCAGGAGTGCTTGCTGTATTTTTAAGACAATAACATATCATTAAAAAAAAAAGGTTTATATCATATGGACTGTAAATCTCATAATATTTTGGGACAGTTTCTTTGAGGCTGTAACCCCCTACCCCCTTTTTATAACATCTTGGTGCAGGGCTTCAATAATCTCCTTGCATAAAATGTTGTAAAGACTAAAATTAAATTGATTTAAGGCTTGAAATCTTCTCTTCAGTAATTTGAGAAATGCTTTAAGGTTTAACTCACTATCATTGGGAGTTGGTTAACAACTTCAGTACTCCAAATTCTTGCTGTCTTACCCAGCTTCTGTCTAAACTGCCCTCACAGCTCCTAGGCCAAGAGAGTGGCCGCCTTCTCCTGGTCCACCTTTCCCTCCAGTTCTTGTTCTTAACCATACGAAAACCAATCCATTGGCCCCAAACGGGACAATCAATTAAAGCAATGGCACACGTCTTAGTCTATAATGCCCCTGCTGTGTCATCTGTATTGTAAGTTCATTTACCAGTTTGGGGCATGGCTTGTCCATTTTGAATTCTTAGTTTTGTTTCATTTCCTTTGTGGCTGAATTTTACCAAGCTACATTTCTAAAAGGGACGATGGGTTCTGTTGTGGCTTGCATGCTTATTGTGACAAGACTGGTTATATTTGCTTTCACAGAGAGACATCAGATAGACACATCTCTGTCATCTTCAGATAGAGATCAATGTGCCCAGGGAAATCAAGGCTATATTCTTTTTTCCCCCTCTTCTATGGGCCTTGCTTTGTTCTGCTTCCACTCTCCTTGTTAGCCTTGAAAGTCAGTAACTGCTTTACCAAACATTAGTAACAGAGTGTCATTTTACATGGAACACAGTCTACCCGTTGATTGACAGATCCAAATATCTCCCTGGTGCTGTTTTTGTGTCCTTTTGTTTGGGAACATTTAATCTTAGGAGGACCATTTTAGGTTTACAAAAACAATTCATTTGCATTCTTCAAATATGGAATGCTTTTTCCTAACTTTTGTTCCTATTATAATGTAGCTGTTGGCTTTACAGTTATTCTATTATGTATCTACAGTTACACTGGCATCTCTCTACCTTCTACCACATATCCTTACTATTTTGGACAGAATTCATGGTTAGGCAATGTATTGACTCTTTTCTAGTTAATACCAATCTTTAAGTCATATCAAATTTTCGCTCAAGATTACTGTGAGTACGAGAAGATGGTGAGTTGGGACAATCATCGCTTTTATACTGATTTGCATTCCAAATATTCTTTCAGCAAGGTTTACTCTTTCCCTTATTTTGGGTTGTAGCTCCTGGAGGTTTCTTTACATTGTGGAAATTAGTGCAGCTCGAAGCAGAGCCCATGCTTTTGCCACCCGCTGCCTGCGGCTCCTTTCCTGCAGGCCTCCACGCTGAGGCTGCCTTTTCAGGAACCTGCATTTGCAGCAGGACAAGGCTGAGCAGGAGTCAGCGGAGTGGGAGGGCCGGCCCAGCCCGCGGCACCTGCTGTGTGTACACAGCAGGCAGCTGTTCTTCAGCTATGACTCTTTAGCCTTCCTTGGGAGAACAGAGATGCTGACTCATACTTTTCCAAAGAATTCAGAAATCCAGGTTTTCACATGAGCTGTCCATAAAAACTTAGCAACTAATTAAATAAATAACAGGAAACAAACTAAAAAATAAAGAAGTCAAATAAAATATAATGGTAGGCCCGAGTGTGTCTCATTCAAACTGCTATGGAAAGCAGGAGGCGGGCAGGGGAGAGGTAGTGGCTTCTCTCCTAGTATCTGGGACGGGCCCAGCAGTTCCTAGGGGACACTGCTGGTTCCTTTTCCCTGATAGCTCAGGGATAGCTTACGATGCTGCTCTTTGAACTCATGGATCTACCTTTAGCTGTGACACTGCTTCAGAAAAGAAGTTTCTCTCCTGCTAGACATGTGGAGGAAGGAATAGGTGGGTTTCTTATTCTTTGAAGCCCTTATCCTAATGTCATATGGTATTTAACCCTTTTCATGATAGACTGAGAATAGTTAAGTTCTTATTTTCCTTTTTAAATCTTCATTATTTTGATTAATCTTGAAAGGTAGAAGTCAAAGGAACACCTGCTATATTTTCTGTTTTGTTTGGTTTCATTCTCAAAGGATTCTGCAGATTTTTAATATCCTCCTTTATTCTGTGACTTCTGATGACTTGTCCTCAACCATGCACAGCAGGGAGGCCCAGGCGTTCCCATCCCATTGCCAAAAGCCATTTACTCTGTTGCTGATTATGTCAGATAGGAACCAGCCTTCCCTGCAAGCAAAGGAAGCACTGGAGGATGTAATTTCTGGAGAGTCCTGTATGTTAGGAGCTCATCTTTCTAACAGCATCTCTTCTCCCACAACCATCCAGCTTTCTCTAAGTCTGAAATTCTCTAAGTGATGTTGGTTTTCCTTTTCTTGTGGCAGTGCTGGGGCTTGAACTCAGGGCCTGTGCATGAAGGGTGAATGCCCTACTATGAGCCACATCCATAGTTTGGTTTGGTTTGGTGTCTCATTATAGAAATGTATACTTCAGTTCCAGAATTGCCAAACCTCCATGAGGCCTTACCAGTAGAGACTGCCTATTGCTTATATCATAGGTCTTATTTGATCTTTCCCTAAGAGCAAATTTTGAAAGTTGGAAGAGGAGCAAAGATCCTTCCATGTGATAGAAGACACATACTAATCATAAATGTAGTGGTGGAAGAAAAGATGTAAGGTGAGAAAGAGAAAGGATAGACTTCTGGTCTCCACGGGTTCTTCTCCGGGAACATACGCATTAGGGATGAGAGATGGTGATGTGGTACTTACCAAGTGAAGAAATCCTGCCGCAGTGAACCAGGTACTGAGAAATATTGATAGCACTTTGGAGAACTTCACTGAATTACTAAAGGAAGAAAGGATTTAAAAAAGATCATCCTGGGTCTCCTCCAGCAAGTTCCAAAACTACATAGACACCTTATTCTCTAAGATCTCGCTTGCTACTCAAAGGGTGGTTCATAGACCAGAGGTGATGGTATTCTGGGGAGGTTGCGAGACCCCCAACCTCACCCTCACCTGCCACCCTGCAGTATGACAGGGTCCTCTGCCTGATTCTTACATGCATCCGGGTGAGGGGCACAGCTCTGAAACTCACCTGCCTGCACACACTTCTTCGAGAGTTTGCTGTGACATTCACTAGGCTGCTATGACATTGTTTTAAAATACACAACACATAGGTCAGGGTAGATAAGTTTAATGAGCGGTTATGTTGTCTAAGGTGATTACACAAAGTGCACCATGCCAGGAGTCCAGGCAGTAGCATGTAAAACAGAACTCTGAGTAGAGTCACTCAGATTGCTGACCTCATCACAGGGCTTCAGGGACTGGAAAGGGTCAGAAGTGTTCCTGTTACCCACAGAAAGCCCTAGAGTTTGGCTGGCATGTTTGCAGCTTTCAGGCAAGGCCACCCCTGCAGCCAGAATGACTTTTTGTACCCTTATTTCTCCACAATGAAATCTACCTGGTGGTTTGATATTTCTAATGAAAATGCAGAGGTGCAAAGAATTTGAGTGGATAACAGAACAAACTGCTTCAAACTGTGGATGGACTGGTGCTCAAAAGTAGTTAGGGCTTTGTCCTTTCCTTTTGATGATGGTGAAATGACTTTATTTATTTATTTATTTATTTATTTATTTTTTTTTTGGCTAGGGATGGAGTTAGCATCTTCTACCTGCTAGGCCCTACCACTGCACTGTGCCTTCAGCCTATGGCTCGATTTACGTCATGGGAGCCTCTTGTGCCCACAGGAATCGTGTTGCACCCCCAAGCCTGAGGACAAGTTTCTGACTGCCAGGAGACAGACACAATGTTTAAAACAACATGGAGAAAGAAAGCCTCTGAATCGGCTGACTGATTTGAGGGGTGTGTGTGTGTGTGTGTGTGTGTGTGTGTGTGTATGTGTATGTACGTATTGGTCAAGGGACCTCGAATTAAAACCCAAATGATCTTACACCTTGAGGCTTTATAAAACAAACATAAATAATAATGTCTTTGAGATGATTAGATTTTGGCCAGTGTGTAAGGTAATATGAAGGAAGAATATATGAAGAACATCAGGGATATTGAGGGATTCTTCACCGTGACAGGGAAATTCTGATATGAATTTTGGGTCCAGTTAACATTTTCATTTCTTAATCTGAACTATTAACAAGCAGGAAAGGCTGGCACTTACCTGGTCTTGATGGCTTGTAGAATTTGCAATATTTGAGGGAGTTCCAGTAGCCGCAAAGCTCTTAAAAACCTTAAACCTATTGAAGAATCAAAAGGAGAAAGTTGCCCAAAGAGAAAGGGCACTATAAAGAATGGCCTGAGTCACAGCACAGCCAGGTCACAGGCTTTCTTTTCTCCCCAGAATGTTCGACCCTGCTATGTTCTAATGGCATAATGACATAGCTTTAAGAGCATGGGCTGAGTTCAAATGCTGAGTTCGAGTTTAAAAACATAAAGCCTCAAGGTGTAAGATCATTTGGGTTTTAATTCGAGGCAGTTACTAGCCACTGCCACCTACAGCAGTCCTGCTCCCTGTGTATTTCCTATTCTGTGAAATAAGAATTATAATCACGCTGACCTTAAGCAGTTGTGGTGCTCCTCTGACGCGTGTTGAAGCACGCCTTGTATATAATAGGGACTTTTTGGCTGCTCTGTCCAATTCTTCTTCTAAACCAAATTTGCCACAAACCACCTAAACTCTTGATGACCCAATATCTGTAATACCTTGTTCCTCAATATTTATCTATTTTGTCATTAATCATAGTTAGGAACAGAACTGCAATGTACTTTATAGACAGAAGCAAAAATACAAAATTACAGAAAAATGTGAAGTGCTAATGTTACGGTTTGACTATGGCACGTCCTCCTGTGTACAGAATGCTCCTGTGTACAGACGGGGACTGGGCCAGGGCCCCACCCTCGTCAGCTGGGTCATCCTCGAATGGGTTCAGCACTTGGGTCCTTTCCTGGGATGGGATCTGGCAGTGTACGTCTCCCTCCTTGGTTCCTTCTTGAGCTCCCTGCTTCCTGTCACCGTGATTGGAGCAGTTTTCTTCTACGAGACACTGTCACTATGCCCCTTCTGCCATGGAGCCCAGCCAGCTGCGGTCTGACTCCTTTACCTACCTGTCCTCCTTTTCAGGTCGTGGCTCTTGGGGAATAGATTTCAGGGACAAGAAGGAGACTAGGACAGCTGCCCAATACCAAGGCCACCTAAAACACAAAACAACTAAGTGCTCCCCTAATGTGTCTGAGTATGTGCAGATATGATGAGCGGCCTTTTTAAAACACGAGAAATCTTCATTCCTGCCCATGTGGAATCCCAGCACAAAGATGCCAAGGGAGTAGGACACTGGAGCCTGGCCTCTCGGGTGATCCCAGGCTTCCCATCAACAGCTATTGAACATGCACTGCATACTAGGGGCAGCGTGTGCTGTTGAGCTTAAAAAATATGGTTTCTGATACAGTGACCAAATAACTCAGGGGAGGGATCTTTAAAGTGGCAGCCAGCCACTGAGGAAAAATGAAGAGTACCTATAAACACACAGTGAGTTTTACATATTGCTATGGATTTCACACACATGCTTACCTAGCCAATTACTCTTCAAGTAATAAGAAATAAATGTTGGGGGGATGGTAAAGATGTCTACAATGGAATTCATCTCCAGCCAGAACTTGATCTTGTCACCAGCTGCCAAAAACTATAAAAATGAAAACAGAACACTGAAAATTCTGCTACCCTTAAGAATTTGGGGTGAACACAATGAGATGGTATTTTGTAGCTACATTTCACTCATCACCTCAAGATTTGCTTTTGGTCTCTTTTATGCATACATAAACATATAATCATATAAAATATAGATAGAGATATCATAACTTTAATGAGTGTTCAATTAATACAGGATGCTAATTCTCTACATGATTTAAAAAGATCTCCAATGAGAAAGACATAGTTCATCTAGTGGTCTGTGTCTGTGAGCTTCCCTACTCAGATTAACAAAGCCAGATGCCAGGAAGCAGAGTTTACTACTGTAAGAAGACCTTGGAGTTCAGTGTGGTAGGGTTGGTTTTAAAGGAATATCATAGAAATACATACTGTACATTTGTGTATATTTGTGTGTATGCATATATGTATATGAGGAGTATATGAGATACGTTCCTCTATATAAAATATAAGCAGGCCGGGGATTTAGCTCAGTGGCATAAGCACCTGCCTGGTAAGCGTGAGGTAGTAAGTTTGATCCCTGGTACCAAGACAAACAATGAAGAACAAAAACAAAAAACAACAAAACCAAAATGCCCATCAACTGCAGAATGGATGAAAAAGATGTGGCATTTTAATACAATGGAATATTACTCAGCTGTAAAAAGGATGATATTGAGGCTTTTATAGGTAAATGGAGGCAACTTGAGACTATCCACATAAGTGAAATAAATCGACTCATATTTGTGAATATTGTATTGTCTCCCTAGTATAAAAATAATAATAAAAATTGAAATAATAAGATCCAAAATGTATAATAGATATTTAATAATGAAAACGAAAGAAAGTGCTCTAAAAGATAGAACTGTATGTATTTTTAAGTGTGAAAGATAACCATAGTACTCAGTTTTTGTTAGTTCAACAAACAGAATAGTTTGTACTATCATTGTTTGATTGTCCACTTTTTATGTTTTAGTTTTGTGACTTGAGCAAGTACTTCTAACAATATGTAATTTATCAACTAGTGATTCCTTACTTTTTTGAAATTCTGTATTATTTCTACACTTTTTTCTGTTTTGCTTTTCTTCTCTAAAAAATAAAAATAGATATAGAGCTAAATAGATGCTACAGCCCCCCACAAACATGGAGTGGATTAATAAACTAAAATACAGATCTGAAAGAAGGACTCATCAAATGCGATTGGAACAAGACAACTCACTAATATGTGAATGTAAGAAAAATTAAACAAAGATACAAAAGTGTTTCATACAGGTAAATGTGACCTATGCTGTTAATAGAACCAGTGGCATCTTCAGAGATATGTTATTCCAGATCTACACCTTGTGATTGTTAGTAAAGCTAGCTTGTGGTCCTTGGTGGCTAATAAGAAAGAGAGTGTGAGGGGTTATGGTTTTGAAAAGATAGGTTTCATTCATGTATTCATGTTGGCCTAGCTTCCAAGGCAAGGGGTGGAGGAGAGAGAGAGAGAGAGAGAGAGAGAGAGAGAGAGAGAGAGAGAGAGGGAGAGGCACACAGGGAAATAGAGACAGAAATACAGAGAGACAGACAGAGAGGCAGAGAGAAAGTGTTAGCAACACAGCCCCCTCCACCTGTGAAGCCCTGAGTGTTCAGGTAGACTGTGAAACCAAGGGACGCACTGGTCCCTTTGTGTCAATCCAGTTCTGTTTATGTGTTTCCTCCCACTCCCCATCAGTACTTACTCTCAACCCAAAATAGAAACTAAAGAAAGCATTGAAAGTCAAATCAATGGGGATGGTTTGGTCTTCATATGAAGAACAGCTTCCAATAGAGCTGGAAAAAAATAAGCACAGTGCTTAAAGGTGAGCATTTAAATGCCATGTCGGTTAAGGACAAATCTAGGGAGAAGGGAGGCAATTTTTAACTTATTAAGTATGAATGGTCAATTCAGATGCTTAAGTTGAGATGTGCAGGAAATTACCTTTCTCTGAGGAGTACAGCTCAGCAGGAACAGAGCCTTTGGACCACCATGGAGCTTAAAAATAACAGAAAATTCCCCACCATCACTGCCACAGGGTTGACCAGTTCCAGTTCCATTTTTTTCAATGGCTATTTGGAGCTGTGGAGATTACATAGCTTTCCTTGATTTGCAGGTTCATCTATCCAGTCAATATTTTAGCTTTTGAAACATTTCACTCTAGGTCAGCTGGATTGATTCGGCCAAATCAAACAAACTTTCCTAAAAGATCTATCAGGAATTTACAAAGCAAGACTGCTAGTTTCCATAGGATATGTACAGTGACCTGAGCTACATCTCACCCCAGCACACACTTTTGTGTGTGTGACAGTCTCTCTAAATTGACCAGGCTGGATTTGAACTTGTGATCTTCCTGCCTCAGCGTCTCCAGCAGCTCAGATTACAAGAGTCACAACACCTAGTTCAGTTTCTTGGTTTTTGTGGCCTTGTGAGTCCGACACGTACCACCACTGGAAATTCAGTCGAATTCCCAGAGAGTTACCTTGAAACTTCACATCAAATCAATTCTAGTCCACAGGATGGCCTGGCACAGGGGAAACACACACATCTCTTTGGTGTCCGGTGGGGCAACTAAACACATTTACATTAGCCTATGAGTGAGCATGTGCGTATAGGTGTGTGTGTGTGTGTGTGTGTGTGTGTGAAAGTACATTACGTGATACCCTGAGGAGAAAAAAATCTCAAAGTAGCTGGGTGAGTTGGTGATATCGCAGATGAAAACGATTAAGGGCTTTACTCACTCAGAAGAATTGATGAAATAGATGATAAGAGACCCAATGCTCAGCACAAAGACAAGGATCACCTGAAAAGAAACCAAGACAGGCATGAGCGCGCAAAGCCATTTTATAGTCATGGAAAATAAAATAATAAAAAAACCCCACGAAACCATGTTTTCTCCCTTTTTAAAATAAATTGAAATAAATTTTATCATGATAGTTATTACTGCAGGAAGGGAGGAGGGAGTGTATTTTCACATTTTACATTGCCTATACATGTGTAGACACTTATTCACACTTTAATTTATGCTGTCATTCAGTCGTCCATTCAAGACAAATGGATCGGCAGTTGCAGTCTTGCTAATGCGTAATAGTTCAGAGTCCCGTTTGTGTGTTTCTGGTGAGGCTGATGCACACTGGGTTTTCTTCAGTGGTGGGCTGTTGGGTGCAGGCGCTCAACATACCATACCCCACCTGGGACTAAGGACCACGCCAGCTTCCGCAATGCGCTACATCCCTCTTTAAATTAGCCAACCCGTGCGCACCTCGTGCTCACTCCGTATTAGCCCGTGCCGACTCTGTGGCAACCCCTGATTGGCCACAGCTGGATATAGTAGCCAGAGCCTGCGTCCCATTCCCGCCCTGCTTCCTCGTGGCAGCCTGTGATTGGTCACGGCCAAATATATAAACCAGAGCCCGCGTAAATAAAGCAGCAGTTAACTGTCGCCCACAAGAGCGTCTCCTGTCTCATTGGGGGGCTGCGCCGGTCAGTGGGCACATCTCTTCTCTGCCCCTCTTACTGCCATTCTCTGCCTGATGCTTTTCCCACACTGACACCAGCTTAAGGAGGAGACCTCAGACTCTCTCCCAGGACCCAGAGGGAGCCCTGGACACACACAAACACTGTTTGTCCTGATAAAAACCCCAGAGACAATGTGTCAGACATTCCCACACCTCTGCCACAGTGTATCTTGCTCAAAAGTCCTCCTCTAATTCCACCTCACTCTAATTTACACACACATTTAATTCCGTAAATATGCTAACAGGGCTATATGTTTACAACCTGCCAAACCACAAACATGACAAAGAAGTAAATAAGTAAAAGAAGAAAAAAAAATAGTTTTATTGACTCTCAACCTCATGCCACAAACTCAAAGAAAGTTACTCAGGAATGATCTGTAACTGACAGTACAATGCACACAAATCACAAGAAAGCCTTGGCTGCTCCTGGTTGTAGATGGGATTCAGTGAATCATGAGAAATGGGAAGTAATTCTGAGAAGACTTACAAATGTTTCTTGGGTGAGAAATGCAAAATCTGGAAGATCTAGCTACACGGGAGAGTAGAGAACCCCTTCTAAGGCATGGCACCATGCATTGGAGAGGAGACACCATCCAGAGCCAGCAGTGGTCGGGGAGGAGACAGGATTGGCCAGCAGGAACCCCTTCTAAGGAGCACCCCAGAGATACACAGTGTGAAGATTCTGAGACCTGGTCCAAAGAGCCTCATTTGGAGTTGTTGATTACAGTCTTACCCCCTTGTTTGTCTCTGTGGGGAACCTCACAGAAAGTTAGAACTTAGGCACCTACAGTATGATTTAAAAATACCTGTTTTTAAAAATTCCATCTAGTTAGCTGGTTGGTAGTTTGTCGTAGGTGTCTTTGGAAGACAATGATAGATGCAGCTGAAAAGGGACACCGAATAGCCTAAACCTTCATTTGTGGATATCAGCAGGCCGTACACACTGCAGTTTGTGGGAAGTTCAAGATAACAAGAGGCACATGCAGAGAAAATGCGAGAAATGACTTTCCAGAAAAGAGAACACAAGATACATGGCAAATGGCTTTAAAATTACAATTAGTGTCCCAGTGACATTTGCTAGAACACTGCTTGTCAGGAGAGAATGGAACTAAAGACATTAAACTCTCATTGGGGTGCTGAGTAGCAGGAGGAGGTTGGCCAAAGCAAAAGGGAACAAATAAAGTAATTCTTCAATACCAACAGGCAATAACAGAAATGAAAATTATGATTAACAAGGGCATGGGAAACTGAGCACAAGAGATACAATATAACTGGCATTCCAGAAAATAAAACAAATATTAAAAAAAAATGCATCCCTAGATGGAAGGCAGATCTAAGCTGTTGAAAAAGCCCAGCAAACCTCGTCAAGCGGGGGGAAAAGACACACAGACAGATGCCGTACACACAGTGACATTGCGGATTTGGAAACATTTCCTATAGCGTACTCTCTGATATTAGAAAATACAAAACCACAGATCATAACAAATGACATGGAACAAGAATGATTTCATGATCCTCGTTGTGTTCAGTTCAGTCAAGATCCAGCAAGGAAAGCGGAAATGACATCAATCATTTTAAGGCAGTTTATTTCTAGAAGTCTGCATAGAATCGGACCACAGCAGAGAAAATGATGCAGTAGTTGAAACTACAAAGGCAAGTGGGAGGGGCTGGGGATTTAGCTCAGGGGCATAAGCACCTGCCTTGCAAGCAGGCAGTCGTGAGTTCGATCCCCGGTACCGATTAAAAAAATTATATATATAAGCAAGTGGGAGATCAACAAAAATGAAATAGTAAAAGTTAGTAAAAAGAGGCTTTTGGAGTTGGGATGCAGGCTTGGAGGAGGGGTAATAACCTGTAAGGCATGCGATGCCCTGTTTCTGGCACTATGGGTAAAAGAGAAAGGAAATGGAGCTGATTACTACTACTGTGCTAACACTGTGTAATCTGGGGAGAACAGGTGCCAAACACTCCCTGCCTCTCCTGGCTTCCTGTCAGCTGCTGTACTGCCTGTTGACAAGGTCTAACTATGAATCAGCTGACAGATGAGAAAACAATATATTTGGAGACTGGTGGGGAAGGGGAAGGGGAGGGAGGAGTGAAGGATTGACGGAGGGGCAAACATGATGAAAATAGTTTATATGTGCACATGTTGATCTGCCAAAAGGAAATCCATTCGTTTGTGTAGCTAATATTCCTAATAAAATTATTTTTAAAAATCAAAGCAAAACCAAAACAAAATAAAACACATTACTAGTCCTGGCCCAATATCACAAAGCCAAGGAGAGACTGCAGATTGGAGCCTAGAAAATAGTTCAGGTCCTAGAACTTACTGAAATAACATTTATAAAGACTTTAGGAAAAAGAATGCCAAACCAAGAATTCTAAACCCAAAGGAATCATTGTTCATTTGGAAAAGTAAGCAGTAAACATTTTGGACATTCTAGGATTCAGAAAGTATACGGTCTGCATATCCCTAGCAAGTGAATATGAGAAATTCTCCAGAAAAAGAGAAGAAAAATTCAGAAACATGAAAGATGTAGGAAAACAAAGGTCGAATAATGAAATTGGTAAAACTGGGGATCAATGGAACTTTCAGATTTACAAATATTAAGAAGGGAATTTATCAGATGCTAAACATCTGCTATCCCCCACCAACTCACCCACCACCACCCAACACACATACTCATCACGCACACAAAGACAATTGGGAGCTAATGTTCAAATTAGTGCCACCATTTCTGGAAGGAAGAGAGATGATACAGGGGAAATCAGACGGTGCCATTCAGGAGAATGTAAATGCAAAATATACAGAGCCACACAGCAGTACAGAGGCAGAATGAATATGATTTACTCAACTTTTACATTATCCTATTAAAATAGAATTATCTCCTTTAAAATATACCAAAAAATAAAACCAATTTAAAAACTATAAACTAAAAATACAAATTTCAGGCAGTTGTCAGTACTCAGCATGTACTGAGTGTCTTATATGTATTTTACAATTCTCTTCAATATTCTAGTGAGACCTCTGTCATCTCCTTTATGTTCACATCATATGAATGCAGCCCAGCTTAGAAAACTTCCCTTGCCCAGAATTAGACACTCATGAGTGGAGGAGCGAATGTGCAAGCCCGTCTCAATCAAAATTCACCATCGCTCAGCCTTCCAGTAGGATGAGAAATGCAGACCAGGGCAGGTTGTTGGCTGTGTGTCCAGCACCCATCTTCCCCTTTACCAACAGATCTCCTAGCTGTTCAGTTAAACTATTGATATTTACACATTCTATTAGTCAACAAATTCAATTTCTAAATATTCTAAAGACCAATAAAAGAGATCATAATCAAGGAGAATGATTAAATTGCTCTGGTAAATTAAGAAGCAAGCATCAATCAATGAAAAAACAAACATCCAGCTACAGGACATTTAAGAGGAAATGAAAAAAGATGGCAAGAGAGCTGGGCAAAGCTATCCTGATCAACTGTGCGTAAAACAAAAGCAGAAAAAATCACTGCTACAGGATAATATTATGTTCTAAAGTATTCCAGAAAAAAACAGGCTCATGTTTGAAAGCAACAAAAATAGACATTTGACATTTCCTATTGGTAAAAAGCACTAGCAGCTCAGGTGTAGCAAGTACCCTTGTGCAACAATCTGTAGTAGAATATATCACCCCAAAATCTGTCGGAAATGGAAGACATCCAATCAAAGCTAAGATAGCCCAAGTGGAGCTTTCTGACACGCCCCTCTCAATCATTCAACAAATGATTAAGGGTATGGAAAACACAAACATAGTTAACATGGCTTATATTGTATATCAAACAGATAAATACATAGTCTTTCAAAAGTCCATTAAGTAGTAAAAATTGATCTTGCACTCTGTGACAAAGACTTTCTCCTAAATTCCACAAAGCAGAAATCATAAAAGCAGTGTCATCCTTGCACCATAAATTTCTACCAAAGTAGGAAAGATCTCTCCGTATCCCCGACATTGTCTTTCTTCAGAAAATAAAAGTGTATTGCTTTCCTCTAACTAAAGCATGAATCAAACAAGAAATCAAAATTAAAATTTAAAACAGAACAAAAATTGGGTATTAATAAAAATAAGAGCGAGCGTTACTTGTCAAAGTAAGATATAGCCAAAGAAGTGCTCAGAGGAAGGATTCTTCTAAATCAACTACAACTCAGGGAATCCAGTCTTTTAGGTCTTTTGGGTGGTGGTTGTCAGGGAGGGCAGAGCTGCCTCGGTGGTGGGACAGAGCTGGGGGCATCTCTGGGCCACCCCAGG